TCCATCACACCGTCTACGCTGTCGGGTAACCACAATGTCCATCACACCGTCTACGCTGTCGGGTAACTACAATGTCCATAACACCGTCTACTCTGTCGGGTAACCACAATGTCCATAACACCGTCTACGCTGTCGGGTAACCACAATGTCCATAACACCGTCTGGACCCAAACATGGTCAAGATTTTACAGGGCTACTTTCCTCAAAGCTGGGAAAGCTGTCTCAGAGACCATTTGGAGCCAGAAAGTGGCAGGGTCAGTTCTGCTAAACTGCTCTTTCAGGGCCATATCTGCTATCAGATCAATCCGTTAAATCTGGAGAGGCCCAGCATGTACCCACTTGAAGTGCTGTGTGACTTCTTTTGAGAACCCCCTGACATATGTGATGAGAAATGGGTTCTAAATGAACATGGTGAGCTGCTGTCCAAAGCTGAAGCTGTCAAAACGTTTGCTGAAGTTTTGAATTAACTTACCAACAAAGTCAACAAAATGAAACATCTCTCTGTCCCTGAACCTGTCCCTGCACTACTGGGAAGTGTGCACAGTCTCCCTGCAGGTCTTCCTTGAACACCTCAAGTTTCCTCTGAAAGGAGCGGACAGCTGTCATCAGTTCACAAACTGAATTGTCCTTGCCCTGTAGCTTCAGATTCAGTTCATTCAGTTGTGAAGCGATATCAACCAAAAAGGCTACATTATCCATCTTTTTCTTATCTTTTAAAAAGAGAGAAAACTGTGTTGCCTTCTGATTTCTCAGCTCCGCTAAGAAAGCTGCTTTCCCTACTTCCCTTCTGATGGACCAAAAGCGCTCCAACACCCTGCCCTTGCTGAGTCATCTCACAGCAAAACATCACCAGCATTTGCATCAACTTCCTGAGACATTAGTTTTCATTATTGTGTTCATCACCTCAGCATGCTCATCTGACAGGGTGGAGCACAGGACAGACTGATGAATTATGCAGTGGTAAGAGATGAGTTCAGGATTGTCCTCTTTGCTACAGCTCATTTCTCTCTTCCTATCATGGCAGTGGCTCCATCTGTGGTTATTGAAACCACTTGTTTCGGCTCTATTCCTCGCATTTTTAACATCTCCTTAATGGCCAGGTAGATGTCCTCTCTTCTTGTGCTAGTCTGAAGGCTGAGTAACACCCAACAGGTCTTTACAGAATACATTCTTGTGTTTGTTGAAGAACCTTACATAAACTAATAGCTGAGCATTGTGGACTCATCTACAGCTAAGCCTACACATGATGCCTTATGGATAGCTTCATCCAGCTGGGTTAGCACATCCTGGGTTAAGATTTCCGCTTTCCTTGTGGCTGATGATGACGACATAGGTATTTGCCTAATTTTGTCACAGAGCTCTTCTTTTTGTTTTCCCTCAAATAAGGTCTATGCTACTTCACTCATGCACTCCTTGACAACCCCTCCAGGTCCAAGCAACTCTGAGGGAACATTCATTAGCACGTTGTTGGGCAGTGAATGGATCAGGATCCTGGTTGATTGATCATATTGGGATCTGAGAATGCTTATTTTCTGACCTCAGTTCAGACTTAAGTGGGTATGTTTGATGAAAACGTTGTGTTTTGTCTCATAGTGGCGTTTCACATTGGCACTTTTAATCAGCGCCACGGTCTCTGAACACATGAGACACACTGGTTTCACTTGTCTCTCTGTATCTCTAACTTCTCTTTCTGTCTCTCTCATCTCTGTATTCGGTGCTGTTGTTTACACAGATTTGATTGGCTGAGCAGCATCACTCGCATGCGATTGGTCTGTAAGCTTCCTGATCCGCTAAACAAATACCGTAAAGACTAGAAAAGCTGTCAAAATTTAGACTCCCTCAATAATTAATTGAGTATAGGTCTGGATCCGGACTCGGACCGCAGTCCACCTGTTAGTGACCTCTGGTCTACGCTGTCGGGTAACCACACTGTCTTCTTCTTGTTGCCTAGTGACAACCTGATGACTGATATCTACGGCGCTAACCTCTACAACCGTTACCTGGCTCAGCAGCACACTGCCATGACAACCACTAACAAGCTTGTTGCCCGTGGAACGGGCACTCAGGTGACAATGGCGATGCCAGAGGAGCAGCTGGTGTGTGAGGCTGCTCAGTGTCGGTCCATACTGGTAGGGCTGATTGGTTCTATCAGAAATAATCAATATCTAGTTGTACATATAATCAATATGCACCTATCCTCAGGTGTGCACAGGTGTCTATAACCCCCGCTCCCCGTTGCCTAGCGACCAGAGCAGTGATGTCACAGAGACGGTAGTCCACGGTCACAGAGACCTAGTCCTGGAGCCAGACCTGATGGAGCCAAGTCACATGGTAGAGGACGTGGAAGCTGCTGTAGACCTGCTGCTGCAGGAGAGTGACCTCTGACCTCTGATGCTGTTAGCTCTGTTAGCATTGTTAGCACACTAAATCTGTAATTTCTTTTCCAATAACAATGTTTGTGAAATACTGATCAGTGTGATTGATTGTAATATCCTGTAACTAATGAGCCGACTGTTGATATTATAATGTAACCTGTAAACTCATAATGTCTGAAACTTTAAAGAACAAAGAGGATAATGTTTAATTAAATATTGATTCTATATTTCTCTCATTGAATGTAATATTTGTGAATGTGACACATATATATAATATAATAGAATATATATCTGACGTTAGTTTATTTCTTCATTTATTAATAATTCTTTACAAACTGACCAATCAGAGAGCTGGATTAGAGCGGGACAGAAAACAAAAACACTGAAATGTATTTTAGAAGAATTGTGTGATGGATTTAGTTTTATGAATAAAACATAAGTCCAGATAACAGATCGCACTTCATTTCCAAATAAGGGATCAGTTAAGGTTTCATTAATATTTATAAGAAATGTTTAATTATATCTTAGAATAAAGTTTAGATAGTTCCCTTTATGCTACCTTCAAAAACAAAATGAAAATTAAGATAATATTGACTTTATTGATCTCACACAAGGGAAATTCACTACAGCAGCTCCAGATACAACACAATAGAAAATACAAAAAAATAATAAAACATTATAAAAAAACTTTTAAAAATGTATAAAACAAACAAAAACGACAAAAAAATTAAACTCCTATTGAGGATGAAGACGATGCTTTGTAACTCTGGGAATTCGGATCAGTGTTTTTGGCCATGGCGTTGGTTATTTGAACTATTCCTCTTTGTCTGCTAAATAACCAGCAATGGTTCTCAGGAAATCAAGCCAGTTTTCCCCCCCTTGTAGGTGAATTAAAAAAAAAACTACTCCTTGTAGGAAAGGAAAATCCAACTTCTAGCACTGAAAACTATGTATAGGTCTGTAAGTTTTTTTTTTCTCTGCCAAATAACTGCTTTAAGCTGGAGAAGCTCAACACACTGCTTTCAATATGCTGTCTTTTGAGGGAGGTTAGGGGGGGTCCTAATGTGGGGAGATGGAGGACGGGCTGTAGAAATCGCAACGCTCCCTCTCTCCTCCTCTTCCTCCAGTCCTCGACTCCACTGATGTAAAAATCAAAAGTGGGGAGTGTTTATTGTGCGAGTGTGTGACTGTCAGTGGAAAATGTTCTGTCTTGTCAGACTTATAAACCAAGAGAAAGGCGAATCTGTATCTATGCATACTGTAGCCTCTCACATGGCCTACTGAGAGGCGTTTTTCTTTTCTTTTTCTTTTTTTTTTCCGTGTCTCAAAATGTTTTAAATGTTTAAGTACAACAAAATGCGAAATATTACTTGCTTTTTTTTATCACTCTCATTGCCACAAATGGTGTTTTGAAAAAAGGAAAGAAGAAAACCTTTAAAAATCTTGTTTTGGTTGAAGATACTATTTTAACAGTGCAAAAGTCGTCCACATTTCATTGCCTTGATCCTAATTGTGTCCGAAGATGCAACAACAAGTCAAGTGGCTTCTACCTGTTTACAAATAGAATATGATTGTATTGTTGTACTTTTGTTTTGTTTTTGTTTGTTTTTTTTTTCCTT